GCTCTTTCGAGCCATTCTTCTGAAGTATTTGACATGATGTTGCTAACGTAGTGAACTTATTAGTCGTGATTATAAAATGCATTTATACTTTATTGCATACGTGACACTACATTTTAATTTTCCATATCAAATGATTTAGTATCACAAAGATCCAACTAGGAATAATGCTGATTCTAGTAAAAATCGGAGTTACCAAATCAAAAAGCCAATAAGTGCAGCCGATATGATTTTTTTAATTATAGCGATAGGGTTCAAATCACTACTTACGTGGGGGTTGGCCCTTATATCAAACTCGATATTACATATATATGTCAGCGATGTTTAAAACTAAACGGAATACATAATCAAATATTTATATACGTACAAATTTTTTAAGGGAAAAGAGAAGGCAACCAAAACATATAACACTGGGCTTATTTACAATATCATAAATAAAAAAATTTTATTCGTTATTATTAATACGTAATAGTAAAATTTTTACAAGTAAATTTTAAAAAAATGATAATAAAAATTATGGTTAATCATCGACATTAAATTTTATGTATTTTTTCATTTGTTTTTTTTTTGATTTCTTTTTGAATTTTCTTTATAGATATCACACTTTTCACATTTTTATTTTTTGACTCTTTCATCGAAAAAAATATTATAAATCCTTTTGCTTCTTTAATTGTTGAAAAACGCTATCGTAAAATTCCTTTGCTTCTTTGATTGTTAAAAAAACGCGATCGTAAAATTCTTTTACTTCTTTAACTGTTGAAAAACGCAACTGTAAAATTCTTTGCTTCTTTATCATCGAAAAGTGAAAACGTCTCTGGCTAAAATTTTTAGAAATTAAATTGGAATACTTGGTTTTAGAGAAAAATCTCTTACTTGTCCCAACCATCACGTAGAGGTGCATTTCGTTGGTTGGGAAGGTATTCAAGAAAATGTTTCAGTATTTAAAAAATAATAATAAAATAAACCAAAAAAAAAAAATATTAGTACGAAACACTTCTAGAAATACCCAACTCATCTCTCCTGTCTTGGAGTAGGTTGTTCTTAAGTACACAACAAGCTTTTAACTAGTCGCTAAACATTTTCACTTTGGAGCATAACATGTACGGAAAACTATCCAGCAAGAAATCATTTTTTTACCAAAACCTCAAACCATGCATCTCTCACGGACCTTTTGTCAGATATTTCCCTCATGTGGGAGAAGTGAAAAGGCCGTGATACAAAGTACTGAAAATGAGTAGCAACCAGTTTACCAGTTTGAGAAGAAAAAAAAACTAGGCGTAGCTATTTATAAATTATAACCAATTACTATCTTAATCGCGTGATTTTCAAATCAAAACAATCATGTGATTTCCAAAAACGAGTTAGTTGAACGAACGATATCTAAAAACGGTTTGTTTTTGACATGATAATTTTAAAACGTATGTGTTTTTATAGCAACTTTTAAAATAAGATAAGTTTTTTTTAATGTTTGATTATAATGACTATAAATTAGTTAACTAGACAATTCAATTTTATTATCTACGCTTTGTATTGTGTAACTCTACCGTTTATTATAGATTTTATCGTCATTAATTAGTTGGGTTTTGGTATGTTTTTAAAATCTAGAAACAGATCTTTTATATTTTTCCAATTTTTAGCTCGATAAAAACTTTGATAATGACTTTCTTGTCAACAAATAGACCTGTACTGGAAGCGTAAAAAGAAGTCTGTACATAAGTTAGATTGCTTAATAAACATATTACACGAGTAGGTATATGTAAACAAAAAAAAAAAAAAGGTCAAATATATCAATAATTTTGTAAATTGATTCCAAAAAATATATATATAATTCGAAATTACAAAACTTTAATAATATTTCTCGAACATGTTTTTGATAATTATTATAATTAATATCGAATCGAAATAAATTGTTATACTGTAATGCAAAAGAAAATCATAATGAATGTTGAAATGATAGATTAACAAGAAAGGAACCTTTGAATTGTTAATACATAGTAATACTTTAGAGAATTTACTTTACCTGAAGTAGCAGCAATCTGTAGTTACGGAAGTTCTTCAACGCATCTATATTCTAGAATTAATTAAAAATCCAACCGATAAAAGACTTGACTACTAAAAGTGTTTATCAATTACTCAAACTAGCGAGCTTTCGAAAAATTTTTTTAACTATTTGTTAACGAATACGCTTTGATATATGGGGTCTGTGCCTTGAAAATGACCTTACGGGACATAGTAAATCATATGATCCAAACTTGATTTTCAAGGCACAGAACCATATTACTATCGTATGTTATAATATTTGAATATTACATTTGTCAAATCATATTCGGACTGAAATCAATTACAACTTTTCTCATAAATTCTGTGACAAAATAAAATTTTATTCATTTTCCCGAATCTCAACAGTGACTCTTGGGGATTACATCACTTTATTCGGATCGAAATTGCGACATAGTTTTCTGAAGAGTGGGTGATTTTTAGAATGAAGCCGAAGAGATTTCGGTAAATGAACAAATTTTTTATTTTTCATTTTTGTCCATAATTGCAGAACAGGAGTAATTGAATAATAATATGTCGTACTTAGGAATAGAATTATCTTTTTATTGTAGAATTAGAATCCACTCAAGTAAATTCCAAATAAAAATAGGTTGTAATAAGAATTTTAAAATGTACTCGAGTTACTAAAGAATTCCAATTCAACTTACAATAAAATTGAGTGGATTCTGTCAAAATAACAATCTTTTATAAAACCTTACAGAAATCAAGGTTTTCACGGGTTTACATCTGATTTTCTAGATATTAGTCCATCACAGATATAAGATAGAAAGAGTTGTAAAGAATAAGAGAAATAATAAAAAATAATAATATAATTTAATATTTAATATTTTGGCATTTTATAATTATTACACATTTATTACAGTATCAAAACTTAAGATTCTTATGATAGACAGGGATCTTAGCGAACACCATTATTAACCCGAAAATAAAAAAGGTGCAATTTCGAAGACATCTATAGGCAGAAAAAAATGGCAGTTAGCTCCTGACCATTCGAAATTTCGCTTCTCGCTTGCATAAGTAAAGCCATGAGGACTGGTCGATTTATCTGTCCATACTACCTAAAATGAACAAACGAAGAAAAAATAATTGATTATCTTTAGCGGAGTTACGAATATTACTATGAGATCGTGCACAAGTACTACTATTAGGGATGTTATAGTCCTCAGGACTATCTTTTATTAAGACTAGGACCAGACTATAATATCCCTAACTACGATCAATTAAAGTAATCCGATTCATAGTGCGAAATAAGGATATTAAAATTTAGTTCGATCAGAGAAACTCTATCTTGATCAGTTTGCTCAATTTGCATCCGACTCATTGAGTTAGGTGCTTGAGAATATTCCAAGTATATAAACACATTTTAGGGCATTCTCAAGCATCATTCTCGATGCTATCGTAATAATGCTCATTTATTGCTCATTTATTATGCTCAATTACAATAGAAATTGCAGTCGATACTTGATTTTTTGTTATCATCAGAAAAAGGAAACCATCCAGCAAAAAATAACAGATGACTACTGGCTTTCGGAAACAATCTTATAAAGCATTAGCTTCAGCTGTCTCTATTATTACCAAAAAGATCATAACCTTATCATCAATTAAATAGAAAAAGCATCACCTATAATCCAATAGTTTTGGTCATCATGAAGATTGAATTATTGAATCAAACGAAAGAAATATTGACAGAATAGTTGAATTTGTTGTCATATGAGATGTAAGTATCTGCAATTATTTTTTTGAGCTTTCTGATATTTTTTTATTTTCCATAATAACTTTCAATACAACTAATAAAATAGCAATTTGTTATAATGTTACTTGAATGATCCATGCCCCAAATCTACTAGATCATATGTATTGGTGTAATTATAAAATAAAATCGTCTATCTTTGACTAATGCAATCCAAAAAACGCCTGAGTAGAAATAATATCATTTTTTGACGCTTATCCGAGTGAATTTAAGGAAAAACTTAATGAACCAGTTTTTTTGATTTTTACTTCGGACTTAGCCCCTGATATTATTATAATATCGATATACGTAATTAAGTTATAATATCATTTCAGTAATAAAAATTAATTAAATAATACTTAAAGGGTTGATTCTGGTAAGATGAAAATTGAAATTTGGATTCATTAAATTTTCCTTTGATGTCGCAATAAATTAATCACCATCTTACTTCAGAACAATAATTAAGAACTATAGAATTTTGATTTATATTTGCTCTATAGATAATGGTCATAAACGAATTACTTCTAAATTTGAATTATTTAAAATAGTTATAATCATTTAAAAAGTAAAATTATGACTAAAATTATATGAATAAAATTCATGTAAGACTGTATTTCAACAAAATCAATTAGAATTATGGGAGATTTGTAGCCACCATAAAAAATATATTTCATAAAAATCATATTTTCTCTCGTGTAATAAAATTAATTGGTTTTCTTTTGTATCTTCAAAGAAAAGTCTACATGTGGTACTCCCTGAGATAAACACCCCAAACTTAAGATGTCAATATCTGGTATTGTTCCCCAAAAATATATATATATCAAGTAAGCATAAAAGATAAATTTACTTATTAACAAGCATAAATATTAATAATTAAAATTGCTGCACGAACCAGGACAAAAAAATTCGGTAATATTTTCATATGTAATTCCGCCACTTGATTCGAGTAAAAATTCTTTATTTACCCATTTTTCTTTCAATGATTTGGCACAAGATTTTAAATTTTCGCTATTAAAGTTATCAAGCATAATCACATTTGCCCCTGCTCGAATCGCTTCATCAGCTTCTGCCTCGGTACGACATTCAACATCTATCTTTAGTGAAAATCCGCTAACACTTCTAGCGCGTTCGACTGCCTTTGTTATTGACCCTAAGAAATGAGTAAAAGGTTATATTATGCAATCGATAGCAAAATTTTAATAATAAAGATAGTGAACCTTGGCTCCATATATGATTATCTTTTAGCATTACCATGGAAGAGAGATCCATACGATGTGTATCAGCTCCTCCAATAAGCATCCCATATTTCTCAACAAGACGAAAACCTGTAAATTATTATTATGCCTGCTAATAAATTGATTATTATGGATACCTGGTGTAGTTTTTTCGTGTTCCCGCAATTATGCCTTTAAAGTTATGCTCCTTTTTGCTATTCCACTGCAACGTGCAATAATATTAAGAGCAGTGCGTTCACCCATGAGAATATTACAAGCTTTTCCTTCAACCTTTGCAATTTCTTTTATATTATATTTTTAAATAGAACCATAGTATCTTCTGTAATAAAACCAATAAGACAGCCTCTAACTAGATGTAAGACTTTGTAGTATATATGAAGTCATCC